GCAGTCCCTGAGGCCAGTAACTAGCCTGCTGCCTTACCTCTTCCCGGAGCATTGTGAAGAGGAAGTTCATCAGGACTGCATGCTTGCGAGGGTACTTCTGACACAGAGCGCTGATAGCCTGTACCACCACAACCTGGACAGGTTGGAGAGAAGTGCATTTAGCCAGGAGAACTCCACCTTGTTTCAGTTAGTTTTCACCCACCTCCAAATGGGTTTTGGGTTGCGGAAAGATGCAGGCCTGAAGCCTAGATACCATGCTTTTCTTTTCACCCAAAACACTGGGTATGTGAACAGAAAGAGCTGCCCTGGGATGAGAAGGGACTTCCATCTCAATCTCAATTACTTCCTAGAGAAAGTCAGTGTAGGAGCCCAATAAACCTTAATAAAAAAAAAAAGGTTTTTTTTTAAAAGGGCTCTCCAGAAGGGAGCCTACTAGTGGCTGAGGGGTTATATAGACCAGTGGGGGCCAACCTTTTCGGTAGGCGTGCCAAAATTAGGCCCACACCCTCCCCATGTGCCACTCCAATCCCCTTCCCAATCTACTGTTCTGCTTTCTGCTCCCAGCCCTGTGCTCCCTGTTCCCCCTCTGGCCTGCTGCATGCCACACACAGGGGCTTCCTCTGCCAATTGTGGCACTCTTGTCACCAGTTGGCCATCCCTGACAAACTGGTGTGGTTTGGCGATGACAAAACAGTTGATCTCAACAGCTCCTATGGTCCCAAGGTTTCAGAAGGCAAGCATGCACAGAGGAAGACCCCCACACGATGCCTCTTCCCAGGACCTCACTGTACCTTGAATTCATCTGAGATTTCTGACATAAAGGAGGAGATCTGTTTCATGAGTCGGTCAATGCTGCTCTCACTGCCAGTTTTCAGCAGCGTGGTGATAGCCAATGTGGCAATGCTGCGGTTGGAGTCAGTCACTAGGTTCTCCAGGTCCAGGTTACAGGCAGTTACAGCAGATGGGTGTTTCATGGCAACCTAGAGAAGAGACCAAGTGGAATTCCCTGAACAGATGGAAAAGGCTCAGCCAGCAAAGCCAAATGCTTGCAACCCTAACACAGCACCAGCCTCACCTAGCACACCCATGTGCAATAGATTCCATGTAGCGGTCATGCCAGAAAAGTTATTTACCCAAGGGAAAAGATAACAGCTCTGACCCCCTGTAGACATATCCCCACACTAAGAGAGAAACATCGGTGGCTTGGTTTCTAAATGCCTTTTCTTCCTCTCTCCTCTCACTAAAAGGAGACCCAGGATCTGAGCTACCTGGCCATGCCTGCAGAGGAAGCCCCAAGTCTTCAGTACTATGTCCCACAGAGCGGCATTCTGCAGAGGGCCTTTGTACACAGGGCCTAACCACTCAATTTACTAATCCCACAGCTCTTTCTTTTGGCATGAAAGAAGATAAGGGATGAGGGCTACTCTAGGCTTTATGCTGGAACAAAATCTGCCAAGGGAACAGGTCAAGCACGAGGAGTAATTGTCCCCAACTGCATAACAAGGAGCTACTTCATCCTGAGATCTTGAGCCTCCAGAGGAAGTGCGCTTCCACAGACTGGTATTAGATAGATGTCCATTAGCCAGCATGATCTGTTTTTCTCACCCAATGCCTTCTTGGACATTTTATTCTGCCCAGGAAGCAACGAGATGTAAGCTCTAGCTTGGAATGAAAGATGCAGGGGAGTGGCATGTGAGATGGGAGGCAGGAGGCTGATAAGCTTATAAGAAAAAATGGCGCAATCCAGCCCCTTTCTCCTCTCTGGAATCCAGACTCCACATAGGGGCAGAAGCCATTCAGAGGCCCACCTACCTTGTTGAGGGTGCGGACAGCTGCATACCGAAGAGCTGCCTTTGGGGAACTGCAGAACAACTGTAACACTGCAGAAAAAAGCACCAGAGGCAGAGATTTAGCGACCTTTGAACAAGACAGGCTTCCCTCCTCCCCAGGCACAAGATTCATTGTAGGGCAACGGGGAAAAAAAAAAAAAAGATGTTAGCAGAAGATAACTAGAGGTGTGTTTGAGAGGGAGCTCTCTGGACTTACCATCTGCCCATGCCTATTCCAGTGCCCTAAGAACCACAGGGCACAGCAGAAGGTTAGCTAAGCTGTCTCCCTCTCCCCTCCCCTACACCAGTGTCACCATAAAATGATCATGAAGCCATGATTTGGAGAAGTATGGTTTTGCCTATTGTGGAACCTGGATCTACCACCTTCCTATTGAACCATTATCTTTACTATTATTTAAACTGGATTTTTCCAGTTTCAGTTTAAATCCCAGTCCTTTTCAAGCACTGGTCCACTTCAAGGCCTTCTACTGTGGACAGAGGACACATCAATTTGCCCCTTCTCCAAAATCCAAATGTATCACCTCAGTGCCATGCCTGACCCACCTTGAGCTATGAAACTAGTGCCCCAGATGGATGCTGGTGCTAAGTGGGTGGAATTTTCTTAAGGAAATCATAGCCATCTCTGCAGAGACAATCTACACTGAAGCGTAAGAGTGATGTAGCCATGATGGCTCAGAAGTTATATTAGAGGCAAGGATTTTGTAAGATGATATCTTTTATTGGACTAACTATGGAGTTGGAATAAATACACACATTTCTCTAAGCCCCCCCCCCAACCATGCTGTGCTTCATTTGCTGTGCCTAGCTTCCTATAATCAGAGACCCAAGGAAGTATGTCTTACATGCGAAAGCTTGTCGACTTTATTCCAATGCCAGAGTTGGTCTAATAAAAGATATCCTTGTCAGTCTACAATGAACACAGCATGCAGATACCTCTACCAACAGCCAAGACACACATATGCAATAACAAAGCTCCAGCAGGCATGAATGTATTTAAGAGCCTTGTACCATAGGCTAGTCAACAGGGGGAACTGTCACCCAGCCACAATCCCAATTATTCCATAACACAGCACTGGAATTACCCGAGACAGCAGGTGCCAATTCTTTGGCCGTGCAGGTGGGCAGGTTGACAATGGCAGAAGCAGCTTCGTAGACAACCATCTCATGCTTGTTTCTCAAACAGCTCTCGATGAAGTCAAACAGGGGGCTGTCACGGCTAGGAGATAAATCATGAGAATAAAGTGGGCTTTAAGTACTGGGAGGACAGACAAGACTGGCTGAAAAAGAACAACTCCTATGCTAATGGAAGCTTCACTTTATTTAGAAAGGACTAATGGTAATAGTGGTCACTCTGCCTCACTCCATGAACAATGTAGGGCTGGAATCAAGACTCACTGGCTCCAGACTACACGCTCCTCCCCATTAGCTGAAAGACATATGGCAGGGGCTCTCAATCATTGGGTTGCCAGGCTACCATGGGTGGACTGCAAGTGAGATTATGTCCTGCAGGCAGGTTAATTAACTGTACCGACGCACTAGTAATCACCTTAGGCATCATGCCAAGCTAACTCAGCACTGTTCCTTCCTAATGTCAGACCCCAGCATGTGTGGAACTCTTTGGCACTAGGAACGCTTGGATTATGGGGACTAGGAACACTTGGAGAGGAGCAGGACAAAGGGGGAGATGGGCTGTGGGGCTCTGCTGAGGTGCAGGCGTGTCATGGGATCCACAGGGTTATGAACCCTGACCTAGGGGACATGTGACATTGCAGCAGTGCGGTTCTGATTCTGCCTAGCAGAGGACACAGAAATTAGCCACATTAATTCCAACACAGGATGGAAAAATGGAAGACCTCAAGAACAGTTTAAAAAGAACAGGATAAACAGGAAAGCAGTTTGACATACAGCTAAATAACTGGGGCAGACACACACAGCCTGCCTAGGAACAAAACCCAAAACAACGGGGAAATCGGCTCCCCTTCGCCACCTCCCTACTAGGTCTTAGCTGTGAATGAAAGGAAGGGGCTGCATTGCAGATTTTATGGGCCCTGCCACACGTTCAAATTATAGTTGGATAGAAACCAGCTACAAAGTTATTATACGTTTTCAAGCAGTAATTTTGTAGCTGGTTGGCTCTTTGTACAGATGGATGGTCATTTTATGGCATAATAATTACTTCACACATGTGGCCAGTCTAAATGTGTTACACATAACACAATTAACTGGTTAACTGTGCAACAGGTGGCAGGGGTCTATTATTTCTTAAACACACAGGTGACAAGACAGTCCCATGTGATGAGGCAGAAGTGGGGTCTAACGAAAATCTTCCTCCATGGCGACATGGCCTCCATACCTTCCAGCCTCTTCCTCCAGCAGCTTGCTGGCTACCCGGATCATCATGCAGTAGGCGAAAGGCGACTTCAGGCCATGACGCATGAACTTGCTGAGCATCTTGTTAACTGCAAGCCGGTCATTCTTGCGCACATGGTAGAGCAAGCCAAGGGCGTGATACTGTGCAGGGAAAGAGAAAGCAAAGGGATGCATCTGCTCAGCTACAGACTGGGGAGGCCAGCAGAACACCAGCAGTACCACAACCCTGGTCTGCTGCATGCTGCTGCAAGGTTCTTACCTGGACCATGATATTATCACTGGATGCAGCCTCCTGAGCCTCATTCACCCAGCGTTTTACCACGTCGAAGCTGGTCTTCAGCAGGTGCTGTGGGGCCACAAAGCCACAGAAAAACCCATAAGAACCTGTCCCAGTCTCGAATAAGCTTTGCAGTCACTGGTTCATATTAACCAGAAACTAGCCCCGCATCTTTTCTGACTCTGTCACTGGAGAGGGTGCCCTATAAAGCAGCCACATGCAGACACCAGGACCTAGAAGAATCAGTCTGGAAGTGACCTGAGTTGTGTCTGTGGCTCTGGTTCAGAGAGATACTTCAACGATCTCCACCCTAGAGTACTGAGGGAATTGGCTGAGGTCATTGCGGGACCCCTGGCACGGCTTTACGAGCACTCATGGTGCTCTGGTGTGGTGCCAGAGGACTGGAAGATGTGGTTCCCATCTTCAAAAAGGGGAAGAATGAGGACCCGGGAAACTATAGGCCAGTTAGTCTTACCTCAATCCTGGGTAAGCTTTTTGAGAAAATTATTCTGGCACATATCCACGAGGGGCCAGCAGGGGAGATTATGCTTAGGGGCAACCAATACGGGTTCATTAGTGGCAGGTCCTGTCAGACCAACCTGGTGGCCTTCTATGACCAGATCACCAAATCCTTAGATGCAGGGGTAGCAGTGGACATAGCCTTCCTGGACTTTCGGAAGGCCTTCAGCACTGTCTCTCACTCCATTCTCGTTAAGAAACTGGGGGGCTGTGGTGTTGACACCCACACAGTCAATTGGGTCGCCAACTGGCTGGAGGGCCGCACCCAGAAAGTGGTGGTGGATGGGTTATTTTCAACTTGGAGGGATGTGGACAGTGGGGTTCCGCAGGGCTCGGTCCTCGTTGCCCGCACTGTTCAACATCTTCATCAGTGACTTGGACGAGGGGGTAAAAAGCACCCTGTTCATATTTGCTGATGACACTAAGATGCGGTGGGACGTGGGCACACTAGAAGGAAGAAGCAGGCTACAATCGGACCTAGACAGGTTACA